GTAACTGATTTTATGATGATTTACACACTCCACTATAGTGTCACCTACTTATTAATCAAATCAAAGAGAAACATATAAAAAAAAAAAAATACCACTTATTCATTTACAACACCGATGAAAAGATGATGTTGGAAAAAAAGAAGAAGAAGAAGAAGAAGTTGAGAGATGATAATTTGATTAAATTTAATTGGATTGAAATAAATCGTATCGTAAAAATCGATATGTCAGGTAGAAATAATAACGTACGTTGTAATTACATGTAATTTATCCCGTTAACATGGTATATTACACAAAGTCCGTACTGTAAACGGATAACCCAGCTTTACTTGCTTGCTTGCTTGGTTACTTGCTTGTTCGAACTAAAAATACATATACCGAGAGAGATAGAAAAATTGTAAACTTCAAATCCGTTATGACAGAGTCCCACCCCTCCTCCAAAAAAAAAACAAAATTCTGCAAGAAAATTTATTCATCACTTTGTTTTATTAAAGTATTATTCATTTCTTACCTCCCTACCAAAAAAAAAGAAGAAACAAAAAGTATTCCCAAATATTCATTTGCTTTTGTAAGTTGAGATCATTGCTGTTATGAAAATTTTTCATAATCTTCCAACCTCTTTGAAAAGAAAATTTACTATCAATTTGTTTTATTTTTAAGTATTATTTATTTAAAAAAAAAAAAATATCAAATATTCCTAAATTATTTTTGCTTTGTAAGTTGAAATCATTGCTGTTATGAAAATTTTTCCTAACCCCTCAATCATCTGCATGAAAATTTACTACCACTTTGTTTTATTAAAGTGATTATTATATTATTAAATATAATAATAAATAAATACTATTAATAGTGGTATTATTGTTATACCAAATATAATACACCTCTACCCTATCAAAAAAGAAGAAACAAAAAGTATTCCCAAATATTCAATTGCTTTGTAAGTTGAAATCATTGATGTTATGAAAATTTTGTATTAAATGAATCTCATAGGATAATAAATAATTTTGTTTAACAACTGTTTTTAAATAATTATACAAATAATAATTAATTATTGTAGAATATTGATTATTAGTTAATAAAAAAATTGAATATAATTTTTCTTCATATTACAAGGTACCTAAGGTTAAACAAAATTTCAATATTGGTGTATGAATTCACTTGAAATTTATGAAAAATCCTGTTATTATTTAATTACGAATAATTTTTTAATTCAATCTTAAATGATAGTATATTTTTTAGATATTTATTTTGTAGTTTGTAAAATATATTAACACCACATTGGGGTGTATAAAGTTTGAAACATCATCCTATAAATTGAATAAAATTTAATATATTTGGTTTAAATCAAATCAAAATATTTGATATCATCGTACACAGTACTATGAATAACTATTAAAATTTCAACTCTATTTACTATACTCGATAATAATAATAATAATACTATATGTATATGTATAATACGTGCACAATTTGTATAATATCGTTAGAAACCACATTTGAATTATCTAAAATCAATCTAACTAACGTAACAAACAAAATTAATTAATAAACTTCTAAATATACCTATCGACTAAATACTTATATTAAATTTATTTAAACAAAAAAAATAAATAAATAAATAAATTATTCAAAATACTTCAATAATCACAAAATTACAAGCTCGCACACAAAAAAAAAAAAGAAAAAGTATTTATCTTTTACAATTAAAAATAAATTTATGCAATTTTCTAAAAAAAAATATTACGAATATAAAATATATATAAATATTATAGTATCCAAATTATTTATTAATATATAATTTTTATTTTTTTTTTTTTAGATATTTATTATATTTATATATTTTTTATGTATATATTTATTTATATACTTTATATATATATATATATATATATATTATATAAAAATATACAAATATAAAATAAACAAATATCAAAAATAAAATATATATATTTCAGTACTAACTACGTTCAATTATTTATTACCTATATATACCTATCTAATTTATATATATATATAATATAATGTAAAAAATTTCAACATCCAACCCTAATATGTATATACTATATATATATATATATATATATTTTATATATATAAATATTATGTAAAAATATACAAATATAAAATTTACAAATATCAAAAATAAAATATATATATTTCAATACTAACTACGTTCAATTATTTATTACCTATATATACCTATCTAATTTATATATATAATATAATATAAAAAATTTCAACGTCCAACCCTTATTTATGTATACTATACAATAAAAAAAAAAATGTAAACTTTCAACACAACGTTAGTAAAAAWAAATAAATAAATAAAAAACAAGTAAAACAGAACTCGCGTGCTGAAATGGTATATAAAAATTAATAAAAAAATAATAATAATAATAATAAAAAAAAAAATATAACTAGATACGGATACCTCTGGGATCGTGTAAGTTCTGACCGAAGTTTAAAGTACTTTCAAATGAAAATACGTGCTCCTGGGTATTAGAAGTGTCACCAAGAAGAAACACCATCATTTTCGGAAGTGAGATCCTGCCACGCAAAGGCAATGAAGGGAGTTTTCTCTCTTCGTTCCAAATAGAAGAGGGTCATTGTCATGACTAAAGGGCTGATTGTGAGATTTGTCAACCAAGCTGTGGGCTCTCGTTGTAAGCGTCTCGTCAGATCCCAACCATAATACCACTGGGCTGTGGACGGTAATAGGACTCTAAATTCGACCATTTTTACAACTTACAAAACACCATGATCAATAATCGTCACTTTTTAATATAAATATTTATTAGAAATTTTTTCTATTAATATTAAAACAAATTACTTTAATTAAATCTATTACATAAAATTAGATTTATTTTTGTTTTCTTTTTACATTTTTATGATACTTTTTTTCAATAAACGCGACAAAAGTAAATCGTATTAAAAAAAAAAAAAAAACTATAAAATCCACAAATAAAATAATATAATATAATACTATAATAAAATATATAATTATAATATATAACACATAATATTATATATAATATATTATAATTAATATTATTATATATTATATTATTATTATTATTATATTAGTTATTATATATATATATATTATATATTATATATTATATTAGTTATATGTATTATTATATAAATATAAATATATAATATAATACTATAATGAAATACTATTAAATAAAAATCTATTAAATTAAATAAATTACAAATACTTTTTTTTCAATTGTTATTCTTACCGTCAATAAATCTTAAAGAAAAAATTACATCGTTTAGTATTAATCATAGTATAATATTTTCCTTTGCAATTGATAATATTTAAATGATATTATTACGGGATAATAATTTTGTTATAATATTTATATAATAAATTATTTATACATAATCAAATATTTGTCTCTCTTTCCAATGATCGAATTTAGTCCTACACATTTTTTTTGTTTCAAAACCAACATACCCTTGCATGCATATGTGTATTAATTAATAATAATAATAATAATAATAATAATAATAATAATAATGTTTTCTTATTTCCTTGTTTTTTGTTTCTTTGTTTGTTTTTTTTTTTTTTTTAATTTACAATAGAACGCAAAAAATGGATGCATCAAATACGCTAATGTAATTTGGATAAGAAAAAAAAAAGAAAATAAAAGGAAAACTGATCTGAAAAAATAAAAGTCACGCGAACGATTTTAAGATTATCCTATAGAATGCCATTTTTTTTTTATTTTAAGTTTTAAAAGTCTGATAGTTATAAAAGAACTTTATTTATTTATTTTTTTTTTTTAAATTGTTATACCTAAGTTAGATAGGTAGGAGTTTAAATAGGGAAAATTGCTTCCGCGAATGGTTAATATTATGCACGTTGTAGCAGCAACAACAGAGCAGCAGCAACAACAGTAGCCAATAGCAGTGCCGAAAAATTGTATTATTCGTAAGTGTAAGTAAAAAGGGACCGGATAACATACACATATATATATATTAGAGTATACTCAGTATGTGTATACTATTTTACATAACAACAAGGTATACCACAAGGATTTAATACCTTGGTTGTACGTAGCTTTAATCGGTGATGTTAATTTCAAACGTCGGATTTTCAGAACGGAAAGAACGAGTTGTTGTATCTGCTTATTGCGATAAGATATATCTCTGCTTTAATTAAAGATAAAAAGTCAAGAAAAGAAGAAGAGAAGAAGAAGAAGAAGAAGAAGAACAAAGAAAAAAAAATTAAAAGAAAAAGAAAGAAAGCAACTTAACGGACTCTGACCTATCTCAAAACCTATTTTTATTCTGACCTATTATCTTAAAAAAAAAAAAAAAAGAAAAACAAATCAGAAACACGTGAAGGAATTTTTGTATCCTCGATATTAAACACAAATATTTTTACGTGATATTTCGGTAAAAAAAAAAAAAAAAAAACCACTATAACAAATATACTGTTATCTTAAAAAAAAAAAAATTACACACGCATCAAAATATAATCTTGGAATATTCGATATTTAAACGTAGCTTTTTTTAATGTAATTTTTCAGAAAACAAAAAAAACACTATAACAAATATATCCATCATCGTTTAACCCATTGACTGCCAGACATATTTAGAGCGACTTGCCTTAAATTTTTACAAATATAATAATATTAAGTTACTGATATAATATTGTAATGGTATTTAGAATAATTGATAATTAATGTTTTTTACACCATATCAATATTTCATTCAACCTTTTTAATAATTCTTAATGTAAATAACCATTTGCAATTAATCTGAAATTGCAGCACACACTACGAGATATCTCATAGTTGGTAGTCAATGGGTTAAAGATTATTATACGATAATAATATTTAAAAAATAGATAAACCTCCCTAAGGTAAACCTATGAACTATGAAATCATAAAAGATTAAATATATATATATATATATATATNTATATATATATATATATATATATATGTATCGCTTATAATAATCATAATAAATAAAAATAAAAAACTCACTGATTGAGGGTGCGATCGTTGCTTCCAGTTGTAACCGATGCCTGAACCCCGGATGCAGCGGCGGCAACTGAACCCGAATCGTGATGTCTCCTTTCCTTGTGTACGATGCCCATCAACTTCATCCACGGATTGTTCGCCGCGTGGGCACCAATGCCGCCGCTTTGCCACATTGCGCTCGCCAGCCTCGCTCCGAACTAAGGAGCCCTTTTTGGGCTCCAATAAGCAACGAGGGAAGACGAGTCTCAATAAAATATAATCAGCGTCGACGATAAAAGCGACGCTGTTTAATTGGGCCTTTAACTTGCCCGGCCCTGGATAGGTGCGAGGTGCCCTGCACGGCCCCGTTGCCTCCAGAGCCAGGCCCTCGAGCACCTCCACCATCTAATCCTCCTTGATATCTTCACAGCCTTTTAAAAAGGCTCAACTAATTCACTTCCTTTTTATAATCACTTTTTTTTTTTCAATTGTTTTTACAAAACCCTTTTTCGTTAATAATTTGTATAAAACACTTTCGCGCGGAACAGCTGACGATTATCACTAATGCAATATTCGATTTTATTTATTTATATATGTATATATATATATATATATATATATATGTATATAAATTTAAATCACGCGGCACAAAATATGTTCCTATCGAATTCCCCTTTCTATTCCCTTTGAAAATAAATTTCTTCAATGAAAATTATCTCCACACAAAATAACACACGCACCAACAGTCTCTTCCTATTCTTCTTCTCACCACCTGCACATCATCCACGTTCCTCTACACCTTCTCTTCCTCCTTCTCCTCTTCCTCCTCCCCTTCAACCACCAACACGTTTTCTTCGTCAAGTTAACGTTATTGCTGATACTACTACTGTTGTTGTTGTTGTTGTTGTTGTTGTTGGTAGTAGTGTTATTGTTTTTATTATTGCTTATTATTCTTATTCTTCTTTTTCCTCTATGAAAAAGTTCCACAACCCTAATCGACCTTCTTCTCTTCCTTCTTTTACGCCACCTTACGTCTTCCTCTTCCTCTTCCTCTTTCTTTTCTTCCTCCCCCTCCTTTTCCTCCTCCTCCTTCTTTAGCTTCCTCGAAGCTTTTTCTTTCTGATACGCCGCCGTCTCGATTTACGTCACCTGCGTTTTTCTCTGTGCTCTTTCAAACAAATTATACTGATCCTTCGAGATACCATTTTTTTGGCTTTTTTTTTTATACTTTTTGTCATCTTCTTTCTATCCCTCTCTTTCTCTCTCTCTCTCTCTCTCATACACACACACATACATGTATACACAAACACAAGATCATTCATTTAGTCATACGTTCGTCAATGTTTACACAAACAGATATATGCAAATTCATATACACGTAATTATGCAGATATACATTCATACATTGTCAGACACATGTAATAATGCAGATATACATTCGCACATGTACAGACACATGTAATAATGCAGATACATATTCACACATGTACACCACACACCTGTAATAACGCAGATATACATTCACACATGTACAGACACATGTACAGACACATGTACAGACACATACGCAGACACATGTGCAGACACATGTTCACCGTTCGTCCTACCCTCTCGACCTTCGAACCACCCTTTTTTTCACATCGACCCTCTTTTTCACTTTGACAATAAATTTCTCTGTTCCCGAAGACTTGGTAAATGTGACTCAAAAGATCGTGTCATGTCGTCGATCGTTCTAGGCTTTTTTTTTTTTTAAACGATCCAGAACGCACGATCATCGTTCGTCGAAGCGTCGACCTTACTGACACGAGTTTACTACGCGTACTGACCTCGATCGATCGCGCTGCAGACCGAGAGTACTATGTTTATTTACTAAAATAAGTATAAGAGAGAGCTTTTTGTAAAGTGTTTACGTGGCTTCATTTAAACCATCCATATATAATACATACACATATAACATATGTTTAAGACACTTTTAAACGATATTATACGATTTGTTTTGTTCATTTTTCTTTGTCTTATTTTTTTTTTCTTCTTTTCTTTTTGTTTAACTGTTATTGTAAAATAAATTTCTCATTTTTTCAAGCTTTGTTAAACTTATCATTGTAATTTTAATATTATACGAAAGAACAAATTTATATTATTTAAATAAAGAAACTATGGGAAAAATAAATTTGTAAATAATTATTTACATTTTAAATAATAAATTAAAATTACCTATATTATTGAAAAATAAATATCTCATTTAGAAATTTTGTTAAACTCATCATCGTGATTTTAATATTATACGAAAGAACAAATTTATATTATTTAAATAAAGAAACTATGGGGTAAGTAAATTTGTAAATAATTATTTAAATTTTAAATAATAAATTAAAATAATCTATAGTATTGAAAAATAAATATCTCATTTCGAAATTTTGTTAAACTTATCATTGTGATTTTAATATTATACGAGAGAACAAATTTATATTATTTAAATAAAGAAACTATGGGGAAAGCAAATTTGCAAATAATTATTTAAATTTTAAATAATAAATTAAAATTACCTATATTATTGAAAAATAAATATCTCATTTCGAAATTTTGTTAAACTCATCATTGTGATTTTAATATTATACGAAAGAACAAATTTATATTATTTAAATAAAAAAACTATGGGGTAAGTAAATTTGTAAATAATTATTTAAATTTTAAATAATAAATTAAAATAATCTATAGTATTGAAAAATAAATATCTCATTTCGAAATTTTGTTAAACTTATCATTGTGATTTTAATATTATACGAAAGAACAAATTTATATTATTTAAATAAAGAAACTATGGAAAGTAAATTTGTAAATAATTATTTACATTTTAAATAATAAATTAAAATTACCTATAGTATTGAAAAATAAATATCTCATTTCGAAATTTTGTTAAACTTATCATTGTAATTTTAATATTATACGAGAGAACAAATTTATATTATTTAAATAAAGAAACTATGGGGAAAATAAATTTGTAAATAATTATTTAAATTTTAAATAATAAATTAAAATAACCTATTATTAAAAAAATAAATATCTCATTTTAAAATTTTATCGAACTCAACGTCGTAATTTTAATTTGACACGAAAACAAATTTATATTATTTAAAATATGTAATACGATATTGTAAAAATTAACACTCGTTATAAATTATAATTGATAATAATAATAATAATAATAATAATAATAAATATATAAATTAGATTTACTTTTTATTTAAAGTATGAGAGATATAACTTAAAATAATTATTCAAATTTTAATATAAAAAAAAATTAAAACAAAATTATTTTTAAAAATATATTTATGAAAAATACATTTTGTAAACAACGCGAATTAATTTTATTCAAATTTGTATCGTTAATTTATTCGATATCATGAAAAAAAAAATATATATTTTTTATTATGGAAAAATGTATCTTCTTTTTTCTTATTTGTTTCTTTTTTTTTTTTTTTGTTCAAAATTTCAACAAATCATTAAAAAATTGTTAATAAAACGATTTATCATTTTGGCTACCTTAGATGTAAATTGAAGTGTAGAGGAGGGTGCAAATGATTATTGGTTTTATATCTTCTCGTTTGCATTTTATCGCGGCTGATAATAACACGAAAGTTGAAGAAGAAAGAAAAAGAAAGAAAATGAAAGAAAAAAGAAAAAGAAAAAATGCAATTTTTTTTTATTCGCAATCGTATTCGAAACGCACTATGCCGTTTTAACACGCGGCTATAATCGTTAACGGTATAATAAAGATCTTAACGAAACCCTACAGGGGTTAATAATTTGTTACAACCTGTTGGCTTTTTTTTTTTTGCATCCCTATTCAATTACACGCAGAGTAATAATAAAAATAACGCACGATTTGCTTTAATCTATATATAAATTAAAAGAAATAATTAACTGACCGATCTTAATCCTTATCTTAATAACCGACACACATACACACACACACACACACACACATTTTGTTATCATCCAAAAATATAAATATTAAAATATAAGAAAATTATAAATCACTCAAGATTTTTTATCTACGAAAAATTATTGTTTATTTTTCAATAAAATCGATATTTGAAGATTTCAAACGACAAACTATTAAAATTAATTGAAATTTCTTGTAATATTATTATTTTTTCGAATGAAAGCACGTTCACCCCTTTTATAAACTTCCGTGTTATCACAATGGCCTTTAACACGGAACCCAATTTTTGCATAAATCGATAAATTCCATATTTTTTTATTTATATATATTTAATATTAAATTGTATTCTTAACGATAGAGATACTGCACGTTACTACTCGTCATCAAAATTAATTTTATATTCTATTATTAACGAAATTTTTGTTTAATACAATATTTCAAAATCAAATAATTAAAAGAGAAATAAAGAAGAAAAAGAATTATTATTATTATTATTATTATTATTATTATTATTATTATTATTATTATTATTATTATTATTTATATTAATTAATAATATACAAGCCCCAATTGAAAAGTTGAAATATGATAACACTCCCTTATGCAAATTAATATTAAAAAAAAATTTATTCTTCCATAAAAGAAATTTGAATAACAAGGAAACAAAACGTTCAATAGATAATCGTTTAAATTTTAAATGAATTAAAAAAAAAAAAAAGAAATAATTAATATTATTTTGGATATTATTTATTAGGAAAATCTGGTTAATCGTTGGTGACACCAATAACAAAGTGGAAAGTTGAATTTCGTTGATGGCAGTTAGTAGCCTTCGCAAATTGACCAGATTCTAAATTATTAGATCGACCGTAAAGTTATCCACCATCCCCCTTTTATAGTGCGAGGTTCACACGATCTATATATAAACTAAATACTCGCGTTTATGTCAAACGACGCAAAGAACCACGATTATCGTATCACGTATGTGAACGATTAATAGTAGTATCGATGTATCGATTTATCTTGAGAAAATCATTATATAAATTGACACGATATAATAACCTTTCTCTTTAATAATCCTCTATAATATTCGGGTATTCTTGTTAAAACCCTAAACCTATATTCATGTATAATATTTATTCCTACAGTAAATGGTCACTTGATCATAGATTTAATAAAAAAAAAAAATCAATATAATTTTAATATTAAATAAGTACAACATAATTTTAAATATAAAATAAAATACCTTAAATTTAATATCAAATAAAACAACATAATTTTAATATAAAACAAAAACAATATAGTATTAAATATGAAATAAAAATGACATAGTTTTAAATATTTGTTAGTTTTAAATATAATTTAAATTGAACCGAATTGTAAATCTAAACCATTTTCAAATCCACCTGAAGACACACACAAAATTTCATTAAAATCGGTCCAGCTGTTTAGGAGAAGTTCAGTGACATACACACGCACAGAAAAATTATATATATATATATATAAAGATTTACAAATTATAAAATAAATTTGTATTATTTTCTAATTTGGGCCCATATACACTGTGACAAATAATAGGGTGTCACAAAATACAAAAGAAAAAAAAGAAAAAAAGTAAAAAGATAAGAAAATAATAATAATAATAATAATAATAATAATAATAATAATAATAATAATAATAATAATAATAATATTAAATCTTTTTCATTTTTCTGCAAAAAGATTTATTAAAAGAAGATACTTCCCCAGAGTCGAAATAAAATGTATGTTGAAAAGGAAAAGCTTTCTTTGCTGAATCGTTTCATTAAATGTGCAAGACCTTATACCGAATAGGAAAGAAGGAAGGAAGGTTGAAAGGTACAAACCCTGACGACGAGAAGGAATCCAACAACGGAACAGAAACCGCACGAAATTAATCCGTTTCACTACGGCATTAAAAATAGTTCTGGGTCGACGTAAATCGATTCTCCTTTTGTCGAGGAAGAGAGAGAGAGAGAGAGGAAAACGCATTGAAGAAAATAAAAAAAAAAAATAAAATAAAAAAAAAGTAAAAGTAAAAGAAAAGAAAGAAAATAATGCAAACGTTAAATGGTCTCCTAGAAAATTCACGATTTTTTTATTGAAAGGTATTTTATAAAGAAGTAGTATAAAAAAATACAAAATACAAAATAATAAAAAATATATTAGAAAAAATTAGGAAAAAAAAATACAAAAATGATTAAAAAATATACTTTATAAATATAATTTAATATGTATTTTTATCTCGTTAATTCTTTTTCTTTCTCAATTATTTTACCTTTCTCTTTTTCTCTTTGTCTATTATAGAACAAAACCAAATAAGTTTAGCAAAGTAACGAGAGAACTAATAAGATGAAACACGGTTCTCCATTAAAACTGCAAACATTATATCTCGTACAGGTTTCTTATGATTAATGACGTGAGAAATACAGTACACGCGTTTATATACCCACATATATGTATATATATGTATGTATTTATATATACTAACTACAAATGCAAATCCTCATTTTCAAATCTAGTCCTTTACTTGCTTCCTACGAAGATTGAAATACTAAAAGGAAGACATAGACATAGACGGAAAACCCTGATCGACTAGAATGAAATTACTATGTTGACATATACATCCTTACCTAAAGTGTTCTCCTTAAAGTATAAACAGACACGTTGAATGATGAAACATGAGATTAAGGAAAAGAACAACAATAAAAATAAATAAATAAAAACGATACGAGAAAACATAAATTAAAATATATAATCGTCGATTAAGGTAGAATATTCATTACGCGTATATCTCAATTTTCCTCCAATTAATATTTCATTTATTTATATTTTAAATATGGAATATGATTAAAAAAAAATGTTAGTTATAAATCGATCAATAATAATTTTATCACGTTCTCTTTACTTGAATAATTAAAGTATTAATAATAATAATAATAATATTAACGAGCAAATAAATTATTTCGATGACATTATTTTCATACCCATTTATATGTCGAATCAATTTATTCATAATTTTGACATGTAATTAAAAAAAAATTATTACTTTTTAATATTTGTTACATTAATTAATGTACAAATTTGTTAATTGTTATATTTCTTAACTTATTTTACTAAATTTTGTCCACGATACTACTAAATTATGTACTTATACTACTAGATAACTACAAAGTAATCACTTTATTTATAATTTTGGCATGTAATTAAAAAAAATTATTTCTTTTTTATATTTTTATATTTTTTAAATAATTCAATGTGCAAATTTATTAATTATTATTTTTATTGATTTTTTTAAATGAATTTTGTCCACGTTACAACTAAATTATATACTTATACTACTTACTAGATAACTACAAAGTAACCAATTTATTTAAAATTTTGGCATGTAATTTAAAAAAATTATTTCTTTTTTATATTTTTATATTTTTTAAATAATTCAATGTGCAAATTTATTAATTATTATTTTTATTGATTTTTTTTATTAAATTTTGTTCACGTTACTACTAAATTATTTACTTATACTACTAGGTCACTACTAAATAATTAATTTATTTATAATTTTGGCATGTAATTAAAAAAATTATTACTTTTTTATATTTGTTACATTAATTAATGTACAAATTTGTTAATTATTATTTTTATTGATTTATTTTACTAAATTTTGTCCACGTTACTACTAAATTATATATTTATACTACTAAGTTGCTACTAAGAAATATATTAAATTGCAAAAAAACCCTAGAATAAAAAATAACCAAAAAAATGTTATACATATCTATGTTAAATACTATGAAAATAAAAATTAATTATATAAATTAATTATATATATATATATATAGATAATAATAATAGAATTAATATAAATAATAATAAATATAAAATTAATTATTTTATATGAAGATTAAAAATAAGATGTAGATTTTTATATACACTGTTATAACTAATACATAGCCTATATTATTTATATCTTTCGAAAGTTATTTTTCTAAGATGTTTTTTACTTTATAAAATAAACTTTTTTAAATCAAAAAAAAAAAAGAAAAAAGATATAAAAGTTCGGTCGAATCATTTCATTTTTTAATTCATTTTGATTTAATATTTCTTCGATATCTCAATCATTCCACCATTCACACACTTACTCACACACATACACACGCATACATCAGAGACGGGTATACTCTTTCTTTCTCTCTCTTACCTCTTAATTTCAGTAGATCAATGCACTCGTTGAAGCGAACTTTCACCGGTCATGCATGACGTTGGTAAAGAGGGGGAGGAGAAGAGAGAAAAAAACAGATAAATTGTAGATACGCACTGTGCACTACTATCTTTTTATTTTTTTTAATTTTTTGTTTTTTTTACTTTACTTTATATTCTTTTCTTCTTTATTTTTTCTTCCTTTCTTTTTTTTTTTTTTTTTATTGTAATAACTTCTTTATCCCAGAGAGCAACACGACGAAAATAAACCAACAACAACAGTCCCAGTATTTCCAAACGTTAATCCTTTAGATTTGAAAACCGTCACGATAACAACCTTCTTTTAGTATAATATACTAAGCACCAAAAAAAAATCAAACAAATATTTCGTCGAAATTATCGAAAGTAAAAACTAACGAACGATGAACAAACAAATTTTGACGATTTTCCGATTACACCTTCCTCCTCTCTTCTACATATATCTTTCTCTTTCTTTTTTTGTTTTCACATAGATACAATTCAACGTGATAACTCTCGAAGCAAAAGGATTCGATTTGTTTAAAGTCCTCCTTTTGTTCGTTCGTATGATTAAAAAGAAAAACTCAAAAAACTCGAAAAACTCGAAAAAATAATTGGAAATCAATTAATTGGAAAAAAAAAAAAGAAATAAAAGAAAAAACAAACAAGGAAGACATGCAGACAAGCAAGCAAGCAAGTAAGCAAACAAACAAGCAAGCAAGCAAGCGCAAAAGAAGCACGCAGTGAAAACGCGTTTACATTCACTAAAACCTCGGCTATCGTCCCACTGACACACTTAATCTCGCATTCATACCAACCACCCCTTTTCAGTGATCCTCTCTCTTCGAACCCCCCATTTTGAACCAGCGAAAGATTAGATCCGTTCGTTGATAAACGAGCAAATGAAGAAGACATTTTTTTTTTGTATTTTAATACATCAATGTATGATAGAAAGATTGATAGATAAATAAATAAAATGGATCGATGTTAAATGAACTTAGAAATTTTCTAATGAAGTGACCACAAACCCAGCTGATGATCTTATCAAGAGGGTGAGAAGCCGCGTGTTTGGCAAACGCTCGATCCAAACGCTACAGGTCGCCTTCTAACGGTTTACATCCACGAAATGACGATGTCAAGATATGTTTCTAACATACGATAAATGAAACAATAAATTAATAAAATAATTTTTAGATAAAATATAGAACTAATCTATATACCACGTGTTATCTCACGAAAAAAAAAAACCAAAAAAAAAGAAAATTCATTTCTAATTTAACGAACAATAATAAATGACATCACGTACAAACGTTCAACTTCAGAACAAGTAGAAAAAAAAAACAGAATAAGAAAAGTAAAAGGAATTAGAAGAAGAAACCTAAATAAAATCCCTAACTCGTTATTGAATATTTAATAAAATAAATGAGGGGTTAATTTATTCGTGAAAAGGTGGTACACCATGATAAGTTGTCCTAGTCTTCGTAACGATACTCATCTTTGCAAGGTATCAACGACCTTGGGCTGAGTTCTTCTTACGGTTGGTGGTGCAGAAGAAAGGATGCATTTACAGTCAGTAAAGATATTAGATTTCTCTCTCTCTCTCTCTCTCTCTCTCACACACACTCTCTGGTAATATAACACGGAAAAGAAGAAAAGAAGAAGAACTAATAGACGAAAACTAAAACGATGAGATAGATGACACTGAACACACACACACACAAAACACAGCACACATACACATCATTTTTCTCTGATAATATTACAATATGCATATATATATATATTTACACGTATATAAACGTATTTATGTATTTATAGATCCAAAATACATACACATATATATATATATACATATAAATTGTATCCACTTTTTCTTCGTTAAAAAAAATGTTGTTTTATCCACAAATTTGCAAAGTTTTCAGTTAATATAAAACCCAAAAAAAAAAAAAAAGGAAAACAGAACCGTTTCGAGGATGAGTAGAACGCGACGCGAGTGGATTCCGCAGGACGTTCTTGGTCAAGCAGGAGCGTCGAACCTGGACGTACCCATCGCTGACACCACGGCACGATGTCGGCCAATGGGATCGCGCGATCTCAGCCGCATTGGCGGTGCGTGAGAGAGATCGCGGGGTAAGAGAGGCAACACACGACGCCGCACGCCGTCTGCACCACCGAATGCACCCACCCACCTTTACCTCACTCACCCCTTTTTTGAGCTATATTCCCCTCTTTCACCATCAACCACCACCTCCTTCACCTCCTTCCTTCTTCTTCTTCTTCTTCACCTCCTCTTCTTCTTCTTCTTCTTCTTCTTCGTCTTCCTCCTCCAACACTACTACCACCACCACCACCAAAACTACCACTACCACCACCACCTCCTTTCACGAAAAAAAAAGGTCCGTCACCTGCACACGATCTTTCCACCTTTCCAAATGATTTCTAATATCACCGATTATTTATTAACATTCAAAACTTATCTAACTTCTTTCTTTCTCTCTCTCTCTCTCTCTCTCTCTGTCTCTTTCTTTCTCTTTCTCTTTCTATTATTTTCTTTCTATTCTTCAGAGAAACCAATTAAATGACTTCCCATTCTCCCTTTTTTTCTTTCTTTGGATTATCAATAGAAGAGAAGGAAGAAAGAAGAAAACATTTGTACAAATCAAATGAAATCAAATGAAATCGAATGAAATGAAAGGGAAGATAAGAAGCCCTTGTTGTCTAGGCTAGTTTCGACACTTTTAGAGGATTCGATCGTATTCCGACCGGTCCTCGAGGTCAACGCGGCCTAACCGTAAGCCACACGTTTGTTTCACCTTTACTACGAAAACGGGAGAGGAGAGAAACAAAGAAAAAGAGAAAGAGTAAATGAGAGAAATAGAAAGAAAGATTAGTAGAGAAAAAGAGAAATACAAAATGAGATAGAAAGATAGATAGAAAGTTAGAAAAATAGAAAGAGAGAGAGAGAGAGAGAGAGAAAGAAATAGATTGATGATCAACTATAGTGATCATTCACTCATTTCATACATTCACTTTCTTTCTCTCTTTCTCTTTCTTTCTTTCTTTCTTTCTTTCTTTCTTTCTTTCTTGTTTTCTCTTTACATTCGTGTTAAATCTCGATGGACATGTTGAAATTAAAAAAAAAAAAAAAAGAAAAAAAAAATAGCAAAACTAGACGAAAAATCAAAAAAGAGAAAGATTAAATAAGAAGAAGAAGAAAAATAAGAATAAGAATAAGAAGAAGAAATCGTGCTTATATGCGAGCTTTGTGCTTGCGTTAGTGCATGCGTGCATGCGTGCGTGAGTGCGTGCGTGCGTGCGTGCGTGAGTGCGTGCGTGCCTTAGGGAGGACGCTAGATGCCTACGAATCCTTGTCACGATAATTGTTGTTGTTGTTGTTGTTGTAGTAGTAGTTGTAGTTGTTGTTATTGTAGTTGCTGTTGTTCTTGTGATTCTGCTTGTTTTTGTTGGAGGTTGTTAATATTAATTTCGTCGTCTGGGTTGGATAGTATGGTAATAGTAAAATATTAAAATAGTAATATAGAGCAATAAGTAATATATTAATAGCAATAAAGAAGAATAATTATCATGGAGTATGTCGACACCGATTATTATTATTATTATTTTCTTTTTTTTTTTTTTATATTTCTTTTTTATGATCGAGCAATGTGACAGTAATAAAATAGTACTAATTAATAATAACAGCAGTTAGCAGTAGTAGTAGTAGTAGCAGTAGTAGTAGTAGTAGTAGTAGTAGTAGTAGTAGTAGTAGTAGTAGTAGTAGTAGTAGTAGTAGTAGTANAGTAGTAGTAGTAGTAGCAGTAGTAGTAGTAGTAGTAGTAGTAGTAGTAGTAGTAGTAGTAGTAGTAGTAGTAGTAGTAGTAGTAGTAGTAGTATTAATAGCAGAAGAAAAATAAAAAGAAGACTACGAATAAGAATAAGAAGAAGTAATAAATGTTGTTGTTTTAGTAGATACTAATAGATGTAGTAAATAGTAACAGAAGTATATATAGAAGAATTAGTAGAAAAAAGTAGAAGTAGAAAAAGTAGAAGAAGAAGAAGAAGAAGAAGAAGAAGAAGAAAGAAGAAGAAGAAGAAGAAGAAGGGGGTCGGGTGTAATGGAAAAAGGCACCCCGACTGAAAGAAAAGCGGGCGGCCACGAGACTCCCGCGCGGAGCCCAACGTTTCGCCTCACTGCCGGGCTCACTGCAGGCTCTGACGCACCAAGCTTGCCTCCTCCACCACCACCTCCATACCAACCTCATCCTCCTTCTCCTCCTCCTCCTCTATTCCTCCACCTCCAACCCCTGGCAACCACCTCTCACTCTATCTCTCTCTTTCTCTTTTCCCTTCTGCTTACAACCTACCATCTACCTGTGTATACACTACACTGTTTCCCTCAGTTTGCCTCTACCTCTCATACCCTCCAACCCTCTTTCTCTTACCCCCACTACCTCTTATCCCATACCATACCATGCCTCCCGCTCTCACCCTCAGCCATCCCTTTCTTCTATCACGATACTCGGTTTCGCGCGCACATAGTCGCATATACTCGTATGAAAGAGAGAGATGAGACTATTCGACACACCTGCGCCCTATCCACCATCTCCTTCTAAATCCCACCCCCCTCTTCTGCCTTCCTTTCTTCCCTCTCTCTCTCTCTCTTTCTTCCCTCTCTCTCTTTCTTTCTTTCTTTCTTTCTTTCTTTCTCCCTACCCCTAACTAAAACCACCCTTCTGCCTTACTCCCACCTTAGACCCTTTTCCTTCTTACACATTCTCTCTTTCTCTCTCTTTCTATTTTTTTTTTCTTATTCTATCATACACTTCCACGCTGCTTCCACGTCGTTGATTTCACGATATCCAGCTAAGTCTATCTATCTCTTTCTCTCTTTTTCTTTTTCTTTCATTCTCTCTCTCTCTCTCTCTCTCTCTCTCTCTCTCTCTCTCTCTCAAACATCGAAACCGATCCTCAACGCTAATAATTGAGCACCTTGCGGATCAGAGACTCGGAACTGGTCGAGAAAGTCGAGCTTATTTGCTTTGATAACTTTAAATCATTATTTTGATGCATGTGTATATGCATGTATGTATATGTAAATATACGTGTGTCTTATTCTTACTTTATTTCCCACCACTTATATATGTTCCTTCTTCCTTTTGAGATAAGGAATAAAATCCGTGCTATTATGTCATTACGATTACGGATATAGCTTTTATAAGCATGTTTGATTGCCAACGTAAAAATATGAAAAAAAGAAAAAAAAAAAAGTAAAATTTATTAGGGAAGATCGTTAGCCTTTTTTCACAATTTTTTCTTTTCTTTCTTTCTTTCTACCTTCCTCTCTATTTCTATTTCTCTTTCTCTTTCTCTTTTACACTTTGAACGATCGATTCACCTTTTATTACTCTAAAACAAACCTTCAATTTATGTGAAATTTTATCAGACCCATATATATATATATATATATGTATAGTTTTTTGAAAAAGTCATTCTACAACGTTAAAGAGGAATCGATCATTTTCTCTTTAAAATAAAAAAGAAAAAAAAAAAATATATATATATATATATATACTGCAAAAACACACGAGTATATACATATCCATATGTATATAATACGTGTGCCATGTATTATATGCAAATTTTCTTATAAAGTATATACATATAGGACCATAAAGCCAAGGAGAATATTACAAAGTGATATAAGTTTTCTGTTCGTTCGTTTTTGAACCGTAACAAAAACGTGATGTTTAATATTAAATATCCTAAATGCATTCACAAGTTTTTTCTCTCTCTCTCTCTCTCTCTCTCTTTTTCTATACAAAACAAAAATATTGTATTTAATTTTTACATGGCAGAATACATATAAAATAATTTTCATTTATTTATTTATTTATTTATTTATTTATTTTTTACTTTTTTGTTGTTGACCTAAACACAGCAACTTTGCTGACCATTTTACAAATTTGATTATAACAGTATTTTCGTGATTTATGGTATTCGTAAAACATCTTATGGAATTTGTATATTTATAAAGAGGGTTGTATAATAATGTAATAAAAAGAAGGGAAAGAAACTTTTAATTTTCTTGGAAAAGAGAGAAATACGTATATATATATATATATATATATAGAGAGAGAGAGAGAAACACACACACACACACAGAATTAAATTTTTAATAAACCGTGAGAATAAAAAACTATGTTGTTTTTTTTTTTTATGAAATAGAGTACACGACGTAAGAAAATAAATATGTTACACGTTGATTCAAAAATATGTTGTACGTATGGACCTATATACAAAAATAAATATATGTGTGTGTTAACGTGTATTTTAAGTTTCAAGAGAGTTATTGTACAAACGTTGAGAAAATAAAAATAGAATGGCATGAAATAAAAACTAAAATAAGGAATATAAAATAAAATAGACCGAAAAGGAAAAAGAAAAAGAAAAAGAAGAATAAAAAAAAAACTACGATGCAGTATAAAATTGTAATGCAGAGGCAAGCCAGAGGCAGCAACTCTTCGTTACTAAAACATCCGCAACTTTAACTTTCCGTTCGCGGCTACTGCCAACGAGTACAGAACAARAAAAAAARAARAAAAAAAAAAAARAMSYKAAAASGTWAYMGKKWKCTWYTTTRWAMKMGRSYRAWMTAWTWA